CGCTGCCTAATCCCAGTTAGAGAGGGCAGGAACTGGGGGGATCTGGGGGGGGATCGGTCCTCACGATGAGGGGTAAGACATCAGCAGCATCCAGGCCCCAAACTCTGGGGTGCTGAGCATCACCCCCTCTGCCAGGGCAGGATTGGGACCCAAACCCTGGGGTGCTGAGCATCACCCCCCTCTGCCAGGGCAGGATTGGGACCCAAATTCTGGGTGCTGAGCATCACCCCCCTCTGCCAGGGAAGGATTGGGACCCCAAACCCTGGGGTGCTGAGCATCACCCCCCTCTGCCAGGGATTCTGGGTGCTGAGCATCACCCCCCTCTGCCAGGGCAGGATTGGACCCCAAACTCTGGGGGGCTGAGCATCACCCCCTCTGCCAGGGCAGGATTGGACCCCAAACTCTGGGGGGCTGAGCATCACCCCCTCTGCCAGGGCAGGATTGGACCCCAAACTCTGGGGGGCTGAGCATCACCCCCTCTGCCAGGGCAGGATTGGACCCCAAACTCTGGGGGGCTGAGCATCACCCCCTCTGCCAGGGAAGGATTGGACCCCAAATTCTGGGGTGCTGAGCATCACCCCCTCTGCCAGGGCAGGATTGGACCCCAAACTCTGGGGGGCTGAGCATCACCCCCTCTGCCAGGGCAGGATTGGACCCCAAACCCTGGGGTGCTGAGCATCACCCCCCTCACACCTCCCTCTCTCCCTCTCCTTCCGCAGACGATTCCCTCTACGAGTCCCCAGAGCCCATTTTCACCAGCAACAACTCCTGCTGCAGCCTCAGGGTCCCTCCGGCCGCGCTGGTGGTGGTGCCCGTCGTCTGGACGCTCCTGGCCTCGTAGCACCGACGCCGAGGGGACGGGGAACGGCTCCGCGGGGAAGGAGCAGCCCCGGGGACGGGGGACGGGTCCCGGCCACCCCCCAAATCCATCGCCTTCCAGCTGGTGCCCGGGGAGGTGGCCGTGGCGGAGGGTTGGTGCTGCCGGTGAGAAGCCCTCCCAGATCCTGCCACCTCCTGAAGTCCCTGTCCCCACACGGCCACCCCCGCCGGGGACGTGGGGGGCTGCCCCACGGGACGGATGCTGCCTGCGCACCCCGAAAGCTGCCGGCCCTGCCCTGCGCCTCGCCGGGCCCCGGCCCTCCCGCTGGGATGTCGCTTTTTACATTTCTAGACCAAATACAGAGTCCTCCTTCGGCTTTGGGGTTTGTTTTTTTTTTTTTGGTGTGTGTGTGATTTTTTTTTAAAAGAAAAAAGATTTTTATTTTTTATTTGTTGGGTTGTTTCAGTCCGGGCGGCTTCCCCGTGGCAGACTGAGCCCCACGGGGCCGGGCACAGCCCCCTCCCACCGAGCCCCCCGCCGGGGTGGCTGTGGCACCGGGACAGACGGACAGGACACCCAGGACACCCGCGACAGTGCCGATGGCTCCGTTGTCACAGACTCCTCCCCAGCCCGGCCACGGCTCCGGCAGCAGGACGTCACGATGCCAGCCCTGCCACGCTGCCCCCGCTACGGGGTCGGGGGGCCAGGATGGACACGAGCCCCCCCTGAGCACCCACTGGGGTGACCCCGTCCCCACTGCTCCTGCCAGGGATGTCACCGCTGTCCCCATGGGCAGCTCCACGAGCAGCAGAGCAAACTGGACGTACCCAAGGGATTCACCAGGGATGGATGGTGGAACGGCTGGCACGGAGAGCACCGGGGATGGATGGCACACGGAGCACCGGGAATGGCTAGCTGGCACGGAGAGCACCGGGGATGGCTGGCATACGGAGCACCGGGGACAACCAGCTGGCACGTGGAGCACCAGGAATGGCTAGCTGGCACATGGAGCACCGGGAATGGCTGGCACATGAAGCACCAGGAATGGCTAGCTGGCACAGAGAGCACCAGGAACTGCCGGCTGGCACATGGAGCACCAGGAATGGCTGGCACATGGAGCACCAGGAATGGCTGGCACACGGAGCACCAGGAAGAGCCGGCTGGCACACGGAGCAGCGCCGGGCGCTGGGATCCGGCAGGCCGGGCTCGCCCAGCAGCCGGGCTGGCTCCGAGGGCGTTTGGCTAAAGCCAGGGCTGGAGCCCCCTCCCCACGGGGCTGATCTCGCCGGGGCAGGAGCGCGGTGTGTGCCCGGCGCTGCCCACGGGGCAGGTTTTCCTCCTCCACAGCCTCTGCTCTGCACCACGTCCCCCCTCCAGACACCTTGGGGGTGAGAGACCCCCCCTCCCGGGGTGGGGGGGGGGCTGGCAGCCGCGTGCGGGACCATGGCGGCGCTCCCCAGGGTCACCCCTCTGTCCCCCCAGCTCCTGTGGTGTCCCCAGGGCTGGGCTTGGGGATTGTCCTCCTTTTCCTTCTTTAATTAAGAAGAAGAACCCACCCAAACCCCTCATCTGAGGTTGGGCCTGACCCCGGGGGTGGCAGATCCCCAAAGAGGGGTCTCCCCCCCGCAGCCCCGGGGCCTGACCCCCCCTCGCCTTAAATCTGGGGCTGTCCCACCCAGGGGGGGTCCGGCGCCCGCCCCACAGAGCCCCCCCTGCACCTGGAGGGGTCAGGGGTCCCGGGGGGTGCCGGGGCCACGGGCTCAGGCCCCGCCAAACCCCCCCCCTTCGGGCGCCTTTCCCAAAAGCCCCCCAGCCCCTTTGGTGGTGGGGGGGGGCCGACGGGGGCCCCCTCCCTGTACATACAGCGCTATACTGTGAGCGGTTTTTTTTATGTATTGTTGAGAATGAATTTTATGGAAGGGTTTATTTTATTTTTATTTTTTTTTTTTTTTTATTTTTTAGACTAGGAAGCTGAAATCTCGCAATAAGCTCATCTCAACCATCCAAAAAATACAAATTAAAAAAAAAATAAATAAAAAATATAAAGACAAAAAAACATAACTAAAAAAAAAAAAAAAA